GCCCTGGAAACGGGGGGGAAGCCTGAGCGGCGGGGGTTCAAAAACATTCCCTGGCACCGGAAAAGTGGTAGGAGGGAGAAGGGAGGAGGCATTGCATGGAATCGCATTGCGTGGCATTGCAGATCATTGCACTGTGCTGCAATGATTTTTGTTGCATTGCATTCTGCTGCGTCGAATTGCGTGGCGTTGCATGGTATTGCATAGTGTTGCGCTGCAGTGCGCTGCATCTGCTTGTGCAGCACTGTACGTTGCGCTGGGTTGCGGACGAGGGGGAGGAGGGAAAGACTGGGAAGGTGTCGGCGTGTCCGTCGTCGACCCTGGCGCGCTCCGCGCGCCAAGGAGAGATATCCAGAACTGGTTCGAACAATCCGCGCGGACCTCCCAAAATGTGTCTTTATGCCGTGCTTGTTGACCTCTTGAGACCACAGGCCCCCGAGGGCCAATCCTGCTGGAAGCCGATGGGTAAGCCATCAAATCGCACGGGACAGCTGAGAACCACCCAGGCAGCAAGACTCCGAACCGCACGCCGAAGACACGTTTGCGGGCCAAGGCCGTCCTCGGGCTGCATAGCGCAGCTGGGGCTCGGTGCTGCTGGCAAGCTGCATCACGCTGCTGAGGGGGCGGTGGCCGAGTGGCTGTGCGGCAACACTGCGCGTGGAACCCCCAACGTGCTGCTCAGCGTTATGACGCTGTAACCTGTCATGCTCGTTGCTGGTGGCTGGCAGGATCCTGGTGTACTGCTCCGCGGTGCCGGATAGCCTCGCGGTGCTCGAGTGAACCTGCGCAGCAAGGTGGAGCACGTAACGCTGCTCGTCTCCTTCGTGAAGGTCTACTGGCAAGGCTGCGAGAGAAGTGCTCCCGACGACGTCCTCATAATCACCAGGTCTGGTAAGCCTTTGGTCCAGACCTTCCGCCGCATTCGACTTCTTGTGCCATCCGTGGGTGACGGAAGCGTGGCGCCGTTCCTAGGCATTGTGCTCGGCCTCTTGTTCGTGCGACACGTTGATGGCAGTGTCGTGATCGTGCCAATGATCGTCGCACTCGTAGATGTCAACGTCGTGCTGCTGCCCGGGCGCATGGCGCAAGTCGGGCTGCTCGATATACTCGTGGGTGTCGGAGTCGTGGTGCTGTTCCATGGCGTGGTACTGGTCCTGCCGCTCGTGCCAGACGTGTATGCCAAGGTCGTGACATTGTGTTTATGACAATGCTCGCCGCACTGCTCACACTGAAACAAATCTCGATCCGTGTGGCCGTGATGCTGCAGGAGCTTGTAGTCGTCGTCAGCGACATGCCGCTGGCTCCGCGCACTCTCGTCGAACTGGTCAGGCTTTGACCTCCGGCACCGTGACGGCGGAAACCGTGACACCAAACCTTGCGACGGTCAGCACCCTCTCCTCAGTGTACCCGTAGTTTTTCCAAGTGATGGTCGTGTTAATGCAGTGGAAGTGGTGGTGGCGCTGGCCATGGCAATTGTGGTGAGGGAGGCCGCCCAGTACGGCAGTTGAGGTGGACAGGGTGGTGCGGTAGAAGCGGCCGAAGGTGGAGGATCGACCTCAGGCATCGCACCAGTGACAGTGTGGAGGTTGCCCGCTGCGGCATCTGAGGGCCACGAATACTTGGCGGCAAACGTATAAGAAAGGCCGAATATGATGGTGCGCGATCCGGGAACGAGGGTCGGCTATAGAGAAGACCGCCTCTCACACTTTTTCGGCTGGCCCTGTCACAATGGTCGACATGGTGGATCGTGGAGCTGGTGGTGGGACTGGAAACGGTAGCGCGGCATCGGCGCGGTAGTGGCGGTGATGGTGATGGTGGTAGTAATTGGGAGGGAGGGGCGGAAGTGAAGTGGACTTCGAGATATCTTGATGGAAATGATGGTGGTGATAACTGACGCTGGACCTCGTATGCTGTCCAACGCCGTGCGTGCATCCAGTGCCCGACGTGCTTCATAATGTCGTGGTGATCGACTCCGTCGCGAAGTATCGGCAATGCTGCCAGGGCAAAAACTGACAACTGTCTCCCCTCCCCGGTGGCCACCGTGGCAATACAGGCCTCGGAAAAAATAGCGAACACTCATGCCACATTCATCTGTGAACGCCTCCGCCTCCCCCCAATGTTCGAAGTTGGCGGTGGGTCTGATGAGTTGCACCTCGACCGCAATCTCCCCCGCGCGTGCCAACTTTGAGTTTGGGGGGCAAGGGGGTGTTCACTAATTGTTTCCCTCTACCGTAAGGTGCCGAGAGCGTCGGGTGAGTCTGGCAGGCCTCGTCCTTCTCGGAGCTGGACCCCCCACGTATTACAGCTGATGCTGCTGCGGGCGGTGCTGCTCCCAGTCGTGTGAGTCAAACTGGTGCTGGTGCCTCCAGATGCACCGATCCTGCTGCGCGTGGCGACGGTGCTGCTGCCCTCCCCTTGGGGTACTTCCAGTCGTGCCGCCAGCGGCCGTCGTCAGGGCGCCGCTGTAGATGCAGTGGCAGTCAGGAAGGGCCTGGCCTTCTCGGAGCTGGACGTCCGCAGATCTTACCTCAGAGCTCGGGGCTGGCGCACGAAGGCGGACGCGATGGGGAAGCAAGACCGTGCACATCCTGAGCCTACGAAGGCCCTGGCACGTCCAGGCGACTCCGCACACATCGTGTGCCCCCTGCATCCCCGCCTCGTGCCCCACCCCTTGGGGCCTCTGTTCTGGGGAGCCACCGCAGTTCAGCGGTAGCTATTCACGAAGCGGCTTCGCGCATAGGCGGAGCCACCCAAGCACTTTTGAAGGGGCCCCAGGACACACACACATAAATACACACACATTAAAATATGTCCCATAGTTTCCCATTTTGTCTGGGTTTCTGTCTTCCCCCCACTTCCCATGTTCTCCCATATTTTCTGGGGAATTGAGGATTCAGTGTGTCTGTGTGTTTCTTCTCCTCCTGAACTTTTTTTCCGTCGGCGGTGAGGCATAGCTGGCTGCACCAGCCGCAGAGCTGAACGGGGGCACCGAGAAGCGAACTGGCAAGCATGCAGGAAACGGGCAGAGGACAGACGAGGCGGCCGCGGAGGGGGGGGGGGGAAGGGGGGGGCAGGGGAGGGGGAGGGGGGGGAGGAGGAGGAGGAGAGGGGAGACGGGGAGGAGGAGAGGGGAGGGAGGAGGAGGAGGAGGAGAGGAGGAGGAGAGGAGGAGGAGGAGGGAGGAGGGGAGGAGGAGGAGGAGGAGGAGGAGGAGGAGGAGGAGGAGGAGGAGGAGGAGGAGGAGGAGGAGGAGGAGGAGGAGGAGGAGGGGAGGAGGAGTAGGAGGAGGGGAGAGGAGGAGGAGGAGGAGGAGGAGGAGGAGGAGGAGGAGGAGGGGGAGGAGGATGAGGAGGAGGAGGAGGAGGAGGAGTAGGAGGAGGAGGAGGAGGAGGAGGAGGAGGAGGAGGAGGAGGAGAGGGAGGAGGAGGAGGAGGAGGGAGGAGGAGGGAGGAGGAGGAGGAGGAGGCGGAGGAGGAGAGGAGAGGAGGAGGAGGAGGGGAGGAGGAGGAGGAGGAGGAGGAGGAGGAGGAGGAGGCCACTCAGAGGTGGACGAATTCTCGCCCGAGTATTCTGGCGCGGCCGGCCCCGCCAGCGGGAGGGCTGTGACAACGACGAGGAAGGGTGCGTATAATCCGAGGCCCGGGGGGAAACCCGCGCGGCGCCTCGTTCAGGGATGGCCTCCGGCCAAGTGTCAGGGGGGGCGAACGCCCAAGGGCAGGAAGGTCAAAGTCTGAGGACCAGGCCGCCGCCAGCAGCACTGCGAAGTGCAAGCGGCAAGGGGGGCCGAAACTGGCAAGGGCCAGCGACGCAGCAGGCATAGAGCGCAAGGCAACAATCTACAGTGCCGTTTTTCATACGTGCTCCGCGTGCGGATCATGGATTAAACATGTAGGGATTTAGTATTAAAAACAACGGCGAGTTCATGCATACCTTTATTCATAAACTAATGGTTATTTACACAAATCCTATGTATTAAAACCGGCCCTTTACAGGCCTCATGGTGGGATGGCCTACACCCAGCGCCAAGGGGCGAAGGTCCCAGGGCGGCGGCGCTCCCAGGGCGGGAGCGCCGAGGCGTGGGCCCACCCCAAGCGGCACGGCAACAAGAACGCGGCAGCAAGCTGCAGCAGGTAGAGACGACGCAAAGTAGGGGGCCACATGCGAACCCTCCCCCTACACCCCCACGATTTCTGGGGGGAGGGTGGGGTTCACTTCGCTCGGGAGCTCCCGAAGGAAGTGAACCCCACCCTCCCCTCCAGAACTCGTGGGGGGGGGGGGGTAGGGGTAGGGTTCGCATGTGGCCCCCTAAAAAAGGCAGCGACACCACAAGCAGAGCACGAACGGATGAAGGCAACTCCAATGCATGAAGAGTGACGCCAGGCAGAGGGCGCTGCGCCGCGGGCAAGACTGTAAAAGATATAGGCCGCAGACGGTCTGAGCGCAAGGCAGCGAAAAAGTTCGCCCAGTGAAGAACATGATTTCCAAGGCTGAACGCAACGCGCCGCTCACTCAGAGAGAGGTGAGGGGTCACGACTCACCTTGTCGTCTTTCGCGAACCTGCAATTTCTCGGAAGGGCTCACTGTAAAAAGTGCAAGTGTCCCATGCAAACTGTCCGTGTATTGTTTCGGCCATGACCCATAACCCTTGTAGGGTCGGAAGCGGTGTGAGGGACGGGGTGAGCGTGGCGCAAGGCCCCGCAAGGTAAAGGATAGAACGTGTGAACGTCCTTGTCCTATCATGTGTGTATGGCTGAGCTCTGGGAGGTATGGTGCATGTGCACACCCATGAATCTGACACGTCTCATTGGTCACACTGGCTATGGTTTCCGGTGCGTGCCATTCCGCGCCATGTAGAAGTGTACCCGCAGCCCCCGAAACGCAACAAATGCCTAAGCACCCCCCCCCGCATATTGTTTCACGATGCGGTGATGTCAAGGTCCTCGTCGCTGTCGCCACCGTCGTCGTCGTCGCGGGCCCCCCTCCCCCGCCCGCCCCGCATGCACCTCTGGGGCGGACTGCGAGGCCCTGGTGACGCCCACGGATACGATCGGCCTCGGGAAGGGGCATCGGATTCCTCCTCCTTTCCCTCCTCCTCCTCCTCCTCCTCCTCCTCCTCCACCTCCTCCTGATTGTCGTCGTCCTATTTGTCCGGCGCCTCGCCCTGTTTTTGACTCCGTACGGCTCCTGAGCCTGTGCGCCCTAAACGAAACTGGCATGGTTCCTTAGCACGTGCATCCTCAACGAAACTGGCCTCCTCCTCCTCCTCCACCTCCTCCTGATTGTCGTCGTCCTATTTGTCCGGCGCCTCGCCCTGTTTTTGACTCCGTACGGCTCCTGAGCCTGTGCGCCCTAAACGAAACTGGCATGGTTCCTTAGCACGTGCATCCTCAACGAAACTGGCCTGCAACACACAGCATGGGGACGAGAGACAATACTGGGCGCAAGACCCGCCCGCCTCCACTGGCGCCTTCCACATCCTCCTCCCAGTCCTCATCCTCCCTTTTGCCGTTGAGCGGGCTGGAATCCTAGGATTGCGAAGTATGCGAAACATCGCGTGGCGGTGCCGAATTAGGCCTGGACGCCGACCCGTTAAGTCGGAAAGGCGCATCGGAACACGATGAGCAACGAGGCCAGGATTAACCTGTCTGCCCAGAAGGGCACAATAATATACGCCTGACGAGCAGCACGGGGAGAAGGATACCAGGAGCAACCATGAATCGCCACGTAACCACGTAGGGGAGGACAGACCCAAATAACGAAAAGTATAGAAAAGCACTTGCACACTAGCCCAGGGAGCGGAACCCAGTGGGCGTCACCACACTGGACAGCAACGCAGCTCTGAACCTTCCCTCCCCCGCAGAGGATCCTCCGCAAGAGCAGCCGCCCATAACAACTCAGGTTCTGCATTCAAGCAATACGCAAGCAGTGTGGTACAAATATCGGTGGAGCAAGCGACGACGCTTGCGGCAAACCGTCGGGAATTACCTGTTAAAACTACACGAGTGTGCCGTGGTCGGCAGTCCACGGCGGGACTGGCCCCAGGGACTTGGCCCCCACTGACGTGCCCAAATGGCAACAAGCAACACACGTCCGTGTCACACCAACGAGTCAACGCACAAACACCGCCGATCGTGTGGCTCCGTGGGCGGTGCAAGGTCTCCCGAGCAGGGAGGGCCTGTGCACGGAGGGCCGAGGTGGGGGGCCGCCGTCGTCCTCCCCCATCGCCCCGCGACCCTCACCCCCCACACCGTCCGCCCGCCACAGGGCTGGACCTACAAGTTGTTCGATGTGGTTTCGTGCTGTCTTTCGCGTTGCTCTATCTGTTTTCCTGTATTCACCAAAACGAAAAACAAAACACGGCCAAAGTCCAGCAACACAGCGTTTAGGGCCAGCCCTGGTGCGCCACGCCCTCCTCGTACCGAAAGCTGCTGGGTGTAGGCTGAGGCTGGCACATTAAAGCGGCTGGCCTGTGCGGCGGCTGCGTGTAATGGCGGTGGTAAAGAGTATCAGCTACGCTACAGGTTGGCACAAGCGAGGTGTGTGGCCTACACAGTGGGCTTGCTGTATATGAGGCTGGCGCAGTCGGTGCTGACTGGTCTATGGCCTTCAAATTTTAAGCTATCTGGCATGGTACTTGGATGCTGCTGAGCTGGTGGGGCCGCACCCTGTCGTCCAAGGGGGCCCGATACGCTGCTGGGTGCATCTCACTCCCCCGCCCGACCCAATCCACAAACCCATCCCCACCCGGTCAAATAGAGAATTCTTGACTCGTGTCGGCCAAGGTCAACGAAGTGGCAAAGACTAAAGAGCACAATGATGTACCGAATGCATGCTGCAATTCTTGGGCCGCTGCCCAAATCGATGCCAAGTCACCCCAAACCCCCTCGGCACCGGCACACGCGTGCTTCTTGTAACCGCGTTTACGTGTTAAGCACGAACCCCGTTGTCCAATTTAGACGAGTGCAAAGCAATACAGGGTAGTGTAGGAAAGATGACAGTGGGAGAGTGTGCGCTCTGAAAGGGCTTGCCATTTTGATAAAGAAGCGGTCTCGCTCCATGCTCCTACCCTCCTCTTCCCGCTCCTCCTCCTCCTCCGACTCCTCCCCCTCCTCCTCCTCCTCCTCCTCCTCCTCCTTTTCCTTCCTTTCTGCCACGACAACCGCCAAGCTTTGGGACGGGTGGCCACCAAGGCTAAGCCTGGAAAGTCTGGTCTGGGGGGGCCTCACGTGTCTTCCTCCTCCGGCCTGGGGGGGCATCATGCCTCCTCCTCTGCCTCCTCATCCCCCCCCTTCAGCCCCCCCCCCCCCTCCTTCAGCTCCTCCCCTTCCTCCAGGAAGTCCCCCTCCCGCTCGTCGCCATCCCCGTCCACCGCCTACATCGCCATCCCCATCTCCCCCTCGCCAGCGAGCACACTGCTCAACGATGTGCTGTTAACCGCGCCTGCAGGGTGGGCTGTTTCCTGTTTCTGTGTACTTCGGCTTTGGCTTCTGCTTCGGCCGTGACGCGTTTCTAATCGCTTCCTGGCCAACTAACCTGAGTCAATTGTCCGCTCGCTCGGATGCCTTCGTGGCTCCCTCCTCGTCGCCTTCCTGCTCGGTCCCCCTGCTTACATCCCTCCTCCATCCTGGAAGCCTCGGGAGGCCCTCGCGGAGACCCAGGAGAAGCCAAGCACGCGTGAAAAACCTTGATCCTCGACCCTCCTTCGCCTCCTCCTCTCCTCCCTCCGCCCTCCCCCGCCCTCCCCTCCGCCTCTCCCACACGTACCCCTCTTGCCCCCTCCTCCCTCCCCCTCCCCCTCCACCAGCCCCCCCCTCCCCCACCCCCTCCGTCCCTCCGTCTCTCCCTAGACACCCGACTTCACAATCTGTTCATAACATGGATCCCCAAAGGTCTGGACCCCTTCCCGGGGACCAACTTTGCATGCTGAGCACGCTTTTGGCGGCACCGCGGCCCTGTGACGGCCCCCAGGGAGCGGAAATAGAGTAAAACAATCCGTCTTGATTTTTCACGACGCGAGGGGGTCTGGCAGCTACAGCTTGCAACAGACCTCACGCAAAGCAGCCCCTGTCGCACGAGTACATCAATCCATCCGCAACCGCAGACTGCCGCAGCATCATCCTAACCATACTAGCAGCCTCATCTCCTCCGCCTTGTCACTCTTCCTCTATTCGTTCTCTCCTCCACGCATCTCCTCCTCCTCCCTCTCCTCCTCATCAAATCCGCCTCCTCCTCCTCACTCCCCCCCTCATCCCCCCCGCCCATCATCCTCCTCCTCCTCCTCTCCTCCTCCTCCTGCTCCTCCTCCTCCTCTCTCTCCTCCTCTCTCCGTCCTCCGCCCCCCCGCTCCTCTCCTCCTCTATCCTCCTCCTCCTCCTCCCTCTCCTCCTCCTCTCCTCTCCTCCTCCTCCTCTCCTCCTCCTCTCCTCCTCCCTCTCTCCTCCTCCTCCTCCTCCTCCCTCTTCTCCTCCGCTGCCCCCTCTCCCCTCTGACAGGCCTCGCGTGGAGCTTAGCTGCAGGCGGCGCAGAACGCCTCTGGCGCGCGTTGGGGCGCCCAGGGGGGGGGCGGCGCGAGGGGAGTGAGGGATGCCACGGCTGCGGGGGGGAGGGAGGGGGGGGAGGGTGGGAGGGAGGGATGGGAGGGAGGGAGGGAGGGAGGGAGGAGGAGGAGGAGGAGGAGGAGGAGGAGGAGGAGGAGGAGGAGGAGGAGGGAGGAGGGAGGAGGGAGGAGGAGGGATGAGGAGATGGCAAGGCTTCGGTTTCCCAGACCCCCTCGCGTTGCGAACAACACCACGCCGGGAGGTTTGTTTCGCCACTTTCGGCCTCTGGGGGCCCTCGCCGCGCCCCCAGAACGTCCAAAAAAACGGCTCGGGGCGAAGAACCGGTCCCGGGGAAGGGGTCCAGACCTCTGGGGGTCGACCTTGTGAACAAAGTCGCGACGTCTGGGGTCTGGGTGGGTTTCTACGCAGACAGCCCCCCAGTGCAGTCAAGCTAGGCCCGACTGTAAAACAGCGGGCCCCGGATGCCGAGCACTTTCGAGTCGCGCGGCCGCGGGCGGCCTCGCCGCGTTCTCGAAGGCAAGCGTGGGGCGCGCGTGACCGAATGGGGCACCGTGGGTGGCAGATGGAGGGCGGCGCGCGGGGAGGAGGGAAAGAGCACGCTCAGAACGTGCAGTCCAGCAGCGTGGATGCCAGACCGTACCTGGACATGAAGTTCGAACCCTGCGGCGCAAAGATACCACCCTGGGATCCCCAAAATGAATGATTACCGAGGGTGCGGCAGTGAGAGGGCATGGGTGGACGACAAAATATTCGAGGCCCCAAGCCACCACCTATGCTGAGATCAACAGTGATTTCGGGGGCCAGGGGGTGATGACCATCCCCTTCAGGTGTGTGAGGGTTCGAACGTGTTGTCCATGTGCTGGAGTCCCTGCACAGATAATGGGCGAATCTCCACCACCACTACCGTAGACAGGCCGGGGGAGAAGGGAGAATGGGGAGGTCCTCCTCTGTCTCATCCTTCTTCTCCCCCTCCCCCTCATCCTCTCCTCTCCTCCTCCTCTTCCTCTTCTTCCTCCTCCTCCCTCCTCCGCTCCTTCCCTTCCCTCCTCCCCTCCTCTCCTCTCCTCTCCTCCTCCTCCTCCGCCTCCTCCTCCTCCTCCTCCTCCTCCTCCTCCTCCTCCTCCTCCTCCTCCTCCTCCTCCCACCTCTCCTACCCATGGCAGCGGTGGTGGAAGATCGGCCCATCAGCAGCAGCACCCCGAGCACGCCGGCCCGAGGAGGCAGCGGCACGGCACGGCGCCTCTCGAGGTGGCCGATCTGCTCCCGCAGAGCCGCGGCCTGGGCGCGGCAGGGGGGCGATGGGGGCAGGGCGGGCCGCAGCAACAAGAGAGGGGGCAGGGAAGGGCGCGGCAGGGGGGCAGGGCGAGGGGGCAGGGCGAGAGGGGGCGGGGCAGGGGGGAGAGGGGGGGCAGGGCGGGCCGCAGCAGCAAGACGGAGCCCAAGAGCACGACTGCACCACCGCCGCCGCCTCCCTCGGCCCCTGCCTCCCCCAGCAAAAAGAGGGGAGGAAGAGGGTCGAGGAGGGAGTCGGAGGGTCGAGGAGGGAGGAGTAAAGAGGGGGTCGAGGAGGAGGGTCGAGGAGGAGGGAGGAGGAATCGACGTGGTGGTGCTGTCTATTCTTGGGGCGCGCAGACGAGGAGCTGTCGCGGGCAGCGCCTGAGCGGCCGCCGTCCGCCTGCGCCCATGACCCGGACGTGCTGGCGCCGTGGAGGAGGAAAAGCAGGAGGAGGAGGAGGAGGAGGAGGAGGAGGAGGTGTGAGGAGGAGGAGGGGGAGGAGGCGGAGGGGAGGAGGAGGAGGAGGAGGGAGGAGGAGGAGGAGGAGGAGGAGGAGGAGGAGGATGATGAGGAGTGGGAGAGGAGGAGGAGGAGGAGGAGGAGGAGGAGGAGGAGGAGAGGAGCGGAGGAGGAGGAGGGAGGAGGAGAAGGGGGAGGAGGAGAAGGGGGGAGGAGGAGGAGGGGGAGAATGAGGAGGAGGAGGAGGAGGAGGAGGGAGGAGGAGGAGGAAGAGGAGGGGGAGGAGGAGGAGGGGGAGGAGGAGGAGGAGGAGGATGGAGGAGGAGGAGGAGGAGGAGGAGGAGGAGGTGGAGGAGGGAACGTGACTTGGGGCTAAGGCTCTGGGGCCGCGTTTGGAAACATTCACGGCTGAAAGTGCAAAAGCTGTCGGCCTTCACGGGGCCGGAGCCGTCCATAAGTTACCCTCGGGGACGCAAAGCCAGTAGGGAGGAGGGAGGGGTAGGGGGGAGGATGGGAGGAGGGAGGGGTGAGGGGGGAGGGGGAGGAGGGGAGGACCGGGAGATAGAAGGGAGGAGGATGGAGGGTGGAGGTGTGGAGGGAGGAGGGAGGAGGGGGGAGGGGGGAGGGAGGGGGGGTGAGGCTGGGTGGAGGGGCCCCCCGGGCACGGGCTCCAGACCTCTGGGAAGACACGCTGTGCCACCATCCAGCACACCCATCTGCTTTACGCCAGGTGAAACCTCCCCTATATCGGCTACACGCAAGAGCGACCCTGGGTAAGAGTGACCTTTGGTGCGCGGCTTTCTGGGGGCCGAGGGGGGGACCAAACCTGGGCGCGCAAGCCGCTGCTCCTGCTTCGTCTTCAGCCATCTGGGGACCCGTCTGCGCCCGCACCAAAGGACACTCCGGCGAAAAGGTCACTCTGACGCCTAGTCGACTATAGCGACCCGCCGCTGCCTCTGGCCCACCGGCGGCACGCGGAAGTCGGCCCACTGCGCAGCTCTCGGGAGGGCTCCCCGACGAAAGGGGGGGGGCAGATCGTCGGGAGCGGCCAAGAAGGGGGTGTCCAAGAGGGGGGGGGGTGCAAATCATGACCGGCGGCATGTGCGCGGCCCAGCGGGGGGGGGCCAGGGACGCAATGCAACGAGACGGGGCGCCATGAAATCTGGGGAGATCTCACGGCCCTCGCCATGATATCCCCCCCCAGTATCCCCCCCCTCTTCGCCGCCCCCGAACGAGAGGGGGGGGGGGGGGCAAATCGGCGGGGTGCACCAGCGTGCGCGCCACGACCGGGCCTCGGCCTGGAGCTGCCCCCCCTTGCGTGGGCGCAGTGCGCGGGCGGGCGGGCCACTCAGTCCTGGGAGACGGAGGGGGAGGAGGAGGAGGAGGAGGAGGAGGAGAGGAGGAGGAGGAGGAGGCGGAGGAGGAGGAGGAGGAGGAGGAGGAGGAGGCTGAGGAGGAGGAGAAGGAGGCGGAGGAGGAGGAGGAGGAGGAGGAGGGGGAGGATGAGAAGGGGAGGGGGAGGTGGAGGGGAGGATGAGAAGGGGGAGGGGGCAGGGGGAGGAGGAGGTGTAGGGGGAGGTCAGAGGAAGGGGAGGGGGAGGGGGAGGAGGAGGATGAGAAGGGGGAGGGGGAGGGGGAGGAGGAGGTGGAGGGGGAGGAGGAGGAGGAGGAGGAGGAGGAGAGGAGGAGCGCTGTGGGACCCCGGGGCGGGGGAGGCTCTTGGCACCCGCGCGGCCCCGCCGAGCCAACCGGACGTGGAGAGAGGACACGGCGGGGGCACAGAGCTGCTACAGCGCCGTCGTCCAGCCACCGCGCCGACAAGAGGAGCGCTGAGGAGGGAACGACGGGACTGCTCTGGCCACGGCGAGCCTCGGCTTCGAGTAGGGCCCCCAGCCTATAACCAGTGAGCGGCCCAGGGCAGGTGAGCAGGAGAGACCGGCGATCGGCACCCCAAGGGGAAGGACACCGACCTCTGGGGGACGACGTCGACGGTGCCGCGCGAGCCCTGCCACGACATCATGCGCCCTGGCGCCTGTGCCCCGGGCCCCGTGCAGCCAGCATGCTGCCAGGAGGGGGGGCAACAGCAGGCACGGATGGGGCCCTCTTGGCCACGGGGAGCCTCGCCCGCGGATCGATGAGCCGACCCAGAGCCAAGCAGCTGCCCGAAAGCCAGAGCCCCGCCTGGGCTCGGAGTGGCCCCTGTTTGCAGCATCCTGGCGATCGAGAGCCCACGCGCGAAGAAAGGGAGGGTACCCTCAAAGGCCGCCTGCACCCAACAGCAAACCATGCCCGAACTCGGCGGCGGGCTGTTGTGCAGAGAGCGCCCCCTGCTGAGCCGACGCGTTTCGCCGAGGGACCGACAGCGGAACCAGTAAGGAGTGACCAGGAACTGCTGTCAGTCAGCATCCACAGTCGTTTTGTTTACAATTCGGCAGTCTCCCAGGGTGGAGTGCAGCAAGCCTTTTCTCCCAACATCTGTCGTCGTGCAGATGCAGACAACCCGCCACGGAACCAGCATACGACCAGAGCTCTCAGGCCCATCTCTGCGCCTACTCCTTCCATCCCGATCGACCCGCGAGGGGCCCGGTGCCAGAGAGCGCAGCCCCGAACCCTCTGATTCCCCACTGTGATCTCTGGAGTCGTCGTCGTCGTCCTGCGTCCTCCGTCGTCGTTCTCCATCGTCATCGTCGTCGTCGATGACGTCGTCGTCGTCGTCGTCGTCGATGACGTCGTCGTCGTCGTCGTCGTCGTCGTCGATGACGTCGTCGTCGTCGTCGTCGTCGCCGTGATCGTCGCCGAAAGCGTCGGACCTGAACCCGAGGGCGCTCGCCGATCCCCCGAGCCCTCCCATGGGCCCCTCCTGTGGACCGGCCCCTCGGGCCGAGCCCTCGCCGCGGCGGCGAGCGGAGGACCTCCAGAGGCGCCCGGCGGCACCTCCGAGTCGAAGGCGCCGCGCATTTCCGTCCACGAGCCGGAAGCAGACGAGCACGAGCTTCGCAACGTGGCACCTGAGAAGAAACCGACATCCGAAGCAACGAGCACGAAGCCGGGAATGCTGTCCCTGGGGCGGGCCCAACCAAGAGCCGGAGGCACGGAAACTATACGCCCGTCCGGCGCGTCTACCGGGGGAGAAGTCTGAGATCGAGCGCTCACGGGCCATGCGCAACTGCGAAAGGAAGGGGAACAAGAAGGGAGAGGAGGACGGGAGGGGGAGGGGAGGGGGAGGGGGAGGAGCGGGGGGGAGGAGGATGAGAGGGAGGAGGAGAGGAGGAGGAGGAGGAGGAGGAGGAAGGGGAGGAGGAGGAGGAGGGAGGAGGAGGAGGAGGAGGAGGAGGAGGAGGAGGAGGGAGGAGGAGGAGAAGGAGGGAGAGGAGGAGGAGGAGGAGGAGGAGGAGAGCGGAGGAGCGAGGACGAGGAGGAGAGAGGAGGGAGGAGGAGGGAGGAGGAGGAGGAGGAGGAGGAGGAGGAGGAGGAGGAGGAGAGAGAGAGAGGGAGAGAGAACAACAAAAAACAAGCGCAATGAATTCACAATGCGGTGCCCTCCAGCCGGGGCGCTCAGGCCGAGCCAAACAGGCAATTCACATGCACTCTTCGTCTGGGACTTCTTCCACGCCCGAAACGTGTGCATGGGTATGCAGCACCCCGCAACTGTGGATAAGAGTGAGGGGGTGGGGCGCGGGATCGGTCGCGGGGTGGGTGTCTCGGAGGGTCTCCGCGGGCGAGGACGACGACAACAACAACAAACAACACGCAACAAACAGTAAGCAACAGACAACAAGCAACACATAACGAGCAACAAGCAACAAACAACGGCAAACAAACACAACAACACCAACAACAACACCGCCAACAACAACAACAGCAACAGCAGCAACAACAACACCACCGACAACAGCAATAACAACACCAACCACAACAACAGCAGCAGCAGCAACAACAACAACACCAACACCAGCACCAACAAACACAACAACAACAACAACAACAACAACAACAACCACAACAACAACAACAACAACAACAACACCAACCACAACAACAACTACAAAAGCCAACAACAACAACAACAACAGCAGCAACAACAACAACACCACCACCAACAACAACAACAGCAGCAGCAGCAGCAGCAGCAACAACAACAACAACACCGACACCAACAATCATTTTAAGACCGTTCGGTCTTATCTGCTCGCGTGTCATGCAACACGTATATCCCAAGCCCTCGATACCCGCCCCCTTCGTCTTCGACCGTGCCCGCTTGGGAATAGATATATATATATATATAGATATATCGTTCTTCCCTGCAACGTGTATTGCATGCAGCCCTGAAGGCAGGGGAAGAGAGGACGGATGGGAGGAAGGGACAAAGGGGGGGAGGAGGATGGACCAGCAGAGAGACTAGCAGGAGGGGGGATAGGAGCAGAAAACACGTTGTGGAACCAGACGGGCAGATCGGGCGGGTAGGCCCTAACGGGCGGGTCGGGAAGGAGGGCACAGGCGGCCATGTCGAGCAGGCGCGCTGCTGAAGCGTAATTACTTTATG